TAAGCAAACTCCACCAACGCAAGGTGAGTATCCCAACTGTCTTTTAGTTGTAAAATACAAGACCTCAACATGTCTTCCAAGGTCTGAATGGTTCTTTCCGATTGTCCATCAGTCTGTGGGTGGAAAGCAGTACTAAAATGTAACTTAGTACCCATAGCCTCATTTAAACACTTCCAGAAATGAGATGTGAACCTTGCATCCCTGTCCGACACAATAGACACAGGAGCTCCGTGCAACCTCACAATCTCATCCACAAAGAGTTTTGCCAGCCTTGACAAGGAATAGGTTTCTTTTATAGGTAGAAAATGGGCGGACTTGGTGAGTCGATCAACGATCACCCAAATTCCGTCATGCCCCTTTGAAGTACGTGGGAGTTTGAAAACGAGTGATAAACTCTCACTTCCATTCAGGGATTGGAAGTGGTTGCATGAGTCTGGACGGTTTCTGCCGTTCCGCTTTCACTTGTTGACAAATCAGACATTTGCTCACATACTTAGCAATATCTCCCTTCATATGCGGCCACGAGTAGTACTCCCGTAAAGTCTGATACATCTTAGTACTACCTGGATGCATAGAGTAAGTAGAACAGCGAGCTTCTTCCATGATTTCTTGTTTCAAGTCTTCATCGTTCTTGGGTACACAAAGACGAGTTCTAAAGACGAGTTCCCACTACCAAAGCTCCATCCTTCCTTATTGCATAATCCGTCCGTGTACCATTCTCTACTTCCGACCTTAGCACACAAAGATTAGGATCTCTCAATTGTGCTGCAATCACCCGCTCAACTAGAATAGGCCTCATCTGCACACTAGCAAGCATCCCTCCCCGAGGAGTTATTTCCAACTCCACACCATCTTTTCGCAGTTCTAACAATAGCGGAAGATAGACCATTCTGAGATGAGCTAAACTTCCACCAACATTCCTACTTAGTGCATCAGCTACCACATTAGCTCGACCGGGATGATATTCAATCGTACAGTCATAATCTTTAATCAATTCCAGCCAACGCCGCTGTCTCATATTTAACTCCCTTTGAGTGAAAAAGTACTTGAGGCTCTTGTGATCAGTGAAAATCTGACACGTCTCACCATACAAGTAATGCCGCCAGATTTTAAGCGCGAACACCACTGCGGCAAGTTCCAAGTCATGGACAGGGTAATTCTGCTCATGCTTCTTGAGTTGTCTTGAGGCATAAGCAATTACCCGATCATGTTGCATCAGAACACAGCCCAAGCTTTGTAAAGATGCGTCACTATAGATCACAAAGTGCCCCGAGTTATCCGGAAGAGCCAGAACAGGTGCGGTGGTTAACCGCCTCTTCAACTCCTGAAAACTTTGCTCGCACTCCTCCGTCCAATCAAACTTGACATCCTTCCTCGTTAACCGAGTAAGTGGTGCTGCTATCGAAGAAAACCCTTCTACAAATCGACGATAGTAACCCGCTAACCCCAGGAAACTCCGTATCTCTGTTACACTTGTGGGTTGCACCCAATTCACAACTGCTTCTACTTTGCGAGGGTCCACATAAATTCCTTCTGCTGATATAACATGTCCAAGGAATTCCACTCTATCCAACCAAAACTGACATTTACTAAACTTAGCATAAAGCTTCTTTTTTCTTAAAGTCTTCAATACTAATCGCAGATGTTTCTTATTACCCTCCAAAGTTCGGGAATAAACCAGAATATCGTCTATGAATACAATCACAAAGCGATCCAAATAAGGTCGGAACACTCTGTTCATGAGATCCATAAACGCTGCCGGTGCATTCGTCAGTCCGAAAGGCATCACCAAGAACTCGTAATGGCCATAACGAGTCCTAAATGCTGTCTTGGGAATATCATCTTCCCGTACTCTGAGTTGATGATATCCTGATCTCAGATCAATCTTGGAAAAGTACTTAGCACCCTTCAACTGATCGAACAAGTCATCAATTCGAGGCAAAGGATATCGATTACGCACTGTCACCTTGTTCAATTGCCTGTAATCAATACAAAGCCTCATACTTCCATCCTTCTTTCTTACAAATAATACCGGTGCACCCCAAGGGGAAACACTAGGTTGAATGAACCCAAGGTCCACTAACTCCTGTAATTGAGTCTTCAACTCACGCAATTCTGCTGGTGCCATTCGATAAGGGGCTTGATGAATTGGATTCGTTC